CAGCGTGTGTTATAACCACCAACGCTTCTCCATCTTCCACCCTACTCTCCGACTCCGAATCAGGTACACGACCCATTACATGGATAATTGACACAGGTGCCACTGATCATATGACTTTTGACTCTACTATGTTTTCCACATTATCTTCTAAGTCTCGTCATCCTTACATCACTAGTGCCAATGGAGTTCCTTCTAATGTTGCTGGAGAAGGAACTATATCACTTTCCCCTTCCTTATCTTTATCTCATACACTACTTGTTCCCTCCATCAATTGCAATTTGCTGTCTGTTGGTAAATTGCTTGACTCACATAATTGTTATGCCACATTCTATCCTTCCCATTGTATTTTTCAGGACCTCATGACTCACGTGACGATTGGGCATGGTAAACGAAGAGGGGGGTTGTATTCCTTGACAGTCTCTCCACCACCAACGGCAGCTCATACTCATGGTTCCAGCTCACACGCTCGCAATCAACACCAGATTTGGCTCTGGCATCGTCGCCTAGGACATCCATCCTTTGGCTATCTTCAACGTTTGTTTCCGTCTTTGTTCCGTGGTTTAGACAATCATCAGTTTCGGTGTGAAACCTGTGTATTGGCCAAAAGCCATAGAACTGTTTTTCCCTTAAGTGATACTAATGCAGAATTTCCTTTTGATTTGGTTCACTCTGATGTTTGGGGTCCTGCTAAAGTTTCTTCCAATGGAAAAAGATGGTTTGTTACATTTATTGATGACTGCACTCGCATGACTTGGGTATACTTACTAGCTCATAAAAGTGATGTTTCCGCTGCAATCCGAGAGTTTCATGCTATGATTACCACACAGTTCCAAGCCTCCATCAAAGTATTCCAGTCTGATAATGGTGGGGAATATGTAAACAATGTCTTGGCACAATTCTTCCGGGACCACGGCATCATTCATCAAACCTCCACCTCTTTTACTCCACAACAAAATGGTGTCGCAGAGCGAAAGAATCGACAATTACTTGAGGTTACTCGTGCATACATGCTGGATAAATCAGTCCCTCACTACTTATGGGGACATGCCCTTCTTTCTGCAGTCTACGTCATTAATCGTGTGCCTAGTAGTGTTTTGAAGTTTCAAACTCCACTGAACACCTTGGCTCGTCATGTCTCTCTTCCTACAATCCTCAAGCTGCCTCCTCGCATATTTGGTTGTGTTGTATATGCTCATGTTCCGTCTCATCAAAGAAGTAAGCTGGACCCATGTGCCATTCGATGTGTGTTCGTTGGGTATGGATCAAACCAAAAAGGATACAAGTGTTACCATCCTCCTACTCGCAAGCTCTTCGTCACCATGGATACCACATTTCATGAAGATTTATCCTACTTTGAAGCTTCTACACCCCCTTCTCTTCAGGGGGAGAGGAGGAGTGAAGAGAAGGAGGAAGAAAATCTTCAAAAAATTCAGGACTGCACAGAAATGACCGGTCGCCAGATAGAAATGACCGGACGCCAAGCAATCTGCCCAGAAGCGACCGGTCGCCAGATAGAAACAACCGGTCGCCAACCAATCTGCCCAGAAGCGACCGGTCGCCCAGATCCCAACGACCGGTCGCCTCGCTCCAGTGATGTCGAAATGGGTTTTTTTGGACAGAAATGAATATACTCAAGAAATGTCGCTCTTATTCAGTGAAGACCCCGGAGGAGACAATCCAAATGTCTACAATGATCAACTACAAACTACAACCCCTCCTTCTCAACCATCGGACCAATCGTCTCGTGATGAAGAAATACTTGAGGTAATTACTGAACCATCTAATGTTATACCATACACTCTCCCACCTAGGACCACTAGAGGAAAACCAAAACCTCAATATTGTCATGACCTTACTGCCAAATCAAAATATCCCATTAATAACCATGTTTCAACTCATAGATTGTCAAAGTCATATGCATCATTTGTCAATCAATTATCTACTGTATGTGTTCCAAATAAGTGGCAGGATGCGATAACAGATTCTAGATGGGTGGAAGCAATGGCAATTGAAATGGAAGCTCTGGAAAAGAATTCTACATGGGAAATGGTTCAGTTGCCACAAGGGAAGAAACCAGTTGGATGTCGGTGGATATACACTGTTAAATACAAAGCTGATGGATCCATAGACAGATACAAAGCTCGATTAGTGGCCAAAGGGTATACACAAACATATGGAATTGACTACCATGAGACATTTGCACCTGTTGCCAAGATCAACACTCTTCGTGTTCTCATGTCATTGGCTGCAAATCTTGACTGGCCACTACTGCAGTATGATGTAAAGAATGCATTTCTTCACGGGGACTTGCAAGAAGAAGTGTATATGGAACCACCACCAGGGATCTCTATGTCATTCGGTCCCAACACCGTTTGCAAGCTGAAAAAATCATTATATGGGCTAAAGCAGTCACCACGAGCCTGGTTTGGAAGATTCACCGATTCCATGAAGCGCTTTGGGTACACTCAGAGTAACTCAGATCACACTTTATTCTTAAAACGTCGTGGTAACAAACTGACGACCCTTATCATCTATGTTGATAATATGGTGGTTACCGGTAATAACAATGAAGAAATGAAGAATCTGCAGAAGCTCCTTGCTAGTGAATTTGAGATGAAGGAATTAGGTGAGTTGCAATATTTTCTTGGCATAGAAGTTGCTAGATCAAAACATGGCATATTTCTATCCCAACGAAAATATGTGTTAGATTTGTTAACAGAAACTGGAATGCTTGATTGCAAGCCAGCTGACACACCTATTGAGCAGAACCACAAGTTAGGGATGTATCCAGATCAAGTACCCACCGACAAAGAAAGGTATCAAAGATTAGTTGGGCGACTGATCTATCTATCACACACACGCCCCGATATAGCTTATGCTGTGAGTATGGTGAGCCAGTTTATGCATCAACCAAGTGAGGCACACATGAATGGAGTAACTCGGATTATGAGGTACTTGAAGGCTGCCCCTGCAAAAGGATTAATGTTCTCCAAACATACACATATGGACCCAGAAGGATACACAGATGCTGATTGGGCAGGATCCATCACAGATAGACGTTCTACTTCTGGATACTTTACATTTGTGGGTGGCAACTTAGTCACTTGGAGAAGTAAGAAGCAAAAAGTTGTGGCTAGATCAAGTGCTGAAGCAGAATTTAGGGGAATGGCTCAAGGAGTGTGTGAATTGCTCTGGTTACGGAGATTACTGAAGGATCTTGGAGTTAAACCATTAGAAGCTACAAACTTGTACTGTGACAATAAAGCTGCTATCGAGATAGCACATAACCCAGTGCAACACGACCGTACCAAACATGTGGAAGTCGACCGACACTTCATCAAAGAGAAACTTGAAAGTGGTATAATTAGGTTTCCGTTTGTAAACTCGGAAAACCAACTTGCCGACATTCTGACAAAGGCCGTATCAAGTAAAGTTTTCTATGACTCACTTGACAAGTTGGGCATGCGTGATATCTTTGCACCAACTTGAGGGGGAGTGTTAGTAAAGAGAGCTGTAGGGTGGCTACATTAGAGAGGGTGGCTGCATTAAATGAGGTTGCTGACCTTGGGGAAGCTGCTGCAAGTTCCAGGAATTAGAGGCTCAAGGAAGTAGCTGCTGCCTCCACCTACTTGTAATTAATATTGAGCTTGAATAGCGAGCTCCCTCTTTGTGTATATATTCAGCTGTATGTATTACCGAAAAATTCAATGAGAAAGAAACCAATTACACCAGAAACTCTCTCATCTTACACTCTATTTGGCAGTTTGTTGGTTTAAAACCGACAAAATTCAGTCAATCCACACATGTGATGCAATCCAATTAGAGCTTAGGATCCGATTCAGTCCGATCCATTTTCTATTGGATTGATTGGATTCGATGATCGGTTTTAGTTTCATCAAATGACTCGATTTTAAATTTTAGATATCCAATTCGAGCGCCAAACCATCAAAAAATTGACCAAAATTAAATTGAACACCCTTAACTATAGGCCAAAATTCAACTTTATTCCGTCTATATCTTTCTCTTTTTATCATTCATAAATTGGGCTGATAGTGTGTTGGCGACACCCCTCTTGTTATTAACGTCTATCTATATTTTCTTCAGACAACCTGAGTTCAAAATTCAAATGATGACAAGATCATGTGTCTTCATGTATTTGACAGTTACGATGCCTGACATCTCTCTTGACAAACCTAAATTTGCAGTTTGATTAAACAAACGAAACAATGATCGAATAATTCCCCTGAACTTGAGCCACCTTACTCGACTCGACACTTGTCTTTTGTTTTGTCAAATGTTTACGCGCATCCAAAAAATAATTGTTAACATATACCTGAGAGAAAAGCACACTTACATCTTTAATAGAAAAGCATGGCCGAACCAGCAATTTGTGAGATACCCTAGACTGACAGATAAACCTGAGAGAATCATGTAAACAGAAAAAAACTAAGAGCATCTCCAAGGGAGATGTCAAATACCAAACATTAAATTTAAATTTGATGGTTGATGTGGCAATTTGACATCTTACACAGCTTTACACTCCACCCGATCTGTCAAATTAAATTATTATTTTATAATATTTTAATGTTAATTTATTTTTAATTAAAAAGAAAAGAAAAGAAAAAAATAATAAAATATTCATTTAACAGCCACATAAAGTGGTCAACTAAAGTGGTCAATGTTGTTCTCTAAATAGCATTGCAACAAAGGCTTATTGGTATGTACGGTATAATAATGTGAGATTTTGTAAACCTTATGAGTATACTTGTGAACTTTTTATAATGTCATTTTCTTGAGTAGCCAAGATGAAACCCGTGCATACATCTTCATTCTTCTATGCACCGCAAAAGGCAACACACATCACATACCATGTCTTATTTTGCACTCGTTTTGTGAATGCTTAGTTTTAAAAGAAAATAGAATTAGAGAGATCAAATCAGATGTATCATATCACTCATGATAAAGAAAGTTTGATTAAATAAATTGAATCCTTAACATAAATTGGATCATTAATTCAAATATCCTTAACAAAAACAAAAGATAGCAATATCAACTATGAACAAAAGATAACAGCCAATAAGAGCCTAGATGGCAGTAAAATGCCTCAATACTATCAAATCAAAGACGTACGGATGCCCTGTTCTGCTCCTCAGGTACTTACATTACAGGTTGTTTTCTACTACCTGTAATCCCACCTTCTTCTTTTTGGTTACATGTAATCCCTCCTTCCATCCGCTTTTTCTTTTTCTTTTGTTTTTAATTATTCCGTTTGCTTTCTTGGGTTTATTCTGGTTTGCTTTTTCATGATGCATGAAGGCTACTTCATGTTTGGCTTCTTCCTGCAAAACCCAATTATATTATGTGAGAAACTAGATCCAAATGCTAATAAAAACACTTATAGACATGCAAACAATTGAGTCTCTTGATTCATGGTCATTAAAGAAAAAAAAATCAATTTCATGTAAACACATTTCTTTTACCTCATGCATCAAAGAATTCTCATCCAAAGTGGTTTCATCTTCTTGTTTTGGCTGCTTCATGCTTGCACTCTTATCTTCTTCGGGTTCATAATCCCCGCACTCTCTGAGAGTCATAGTCATTGTAAAAAATAAAATCCAACGTACAGATTAGTGTTACGATGAAAACACGAGAAATGTGAAGAAAACTTACGGAGTAAAGCCGAGTGTAAGCATGAACCAATTACGGACATCAATTTTCACACGAAGAACAGTTGAATGTAAGGTCTCGATCATTCCTTGAACAATTTGAAACGTGGTGATACAAAGATGCTGAACCTCATCACATTCTCCATTAGTGCCAGTCTTAACATGAACGAAGTCTTGGTTCCCCAGATGAACCAAATAGTCAGTCATAAGTCCATCAAATTGCAAAGGTGGATCAGCAATGTCAAGGCCGTCCAATTTAAATTGCTGGACTAGTGAATATGCAATATCACCGTCATCAACTACCTTCCTCCTCAAGGAGTATGCTATAATCTCATCCTCCCTAAAATGATTTAAGGCATATATAGTCTCACCTATAATCACGGCCCTCCCTTGGAAAGGAGTACAAGTGCCAATTTCAACTTGTTTCCAATTCTTTCTACCCATGTGAAAAGCAACGACATCAAAGTTTCCATGCAAGTCAGACAATGTATACAAAATAACACCATAACCAACAACATAACCAGTTACCTCCGTAGTAAACTTATAAGAAAATGGAAACGAAGGCATTTGCACCCAATCGTCCTAAAATAATTTAAGGCATATATAGTCTCACCTACAACCACGGCCCTCCCTTGGAAAGGAGTACAAGTGCCAATTTCAACTTGTTTCCAATTCTTTCTAACCACGTGATAAGCAACGACATCAAAGTTTCCATGCAAGTCAGACAATGTATACAAAATAACACCATAACCAACAACATAACCAGTTACCTCCGTAGTAAACTTATAAGAAAATGGAAACGAAGGCATTTGCACCCAATCGTTCTTATCAGGGTTATATTTCGCAAAGAATAAGGCTGAATCTTGTACGAATTCCGTTTCGGCTTCAAGAAAATAAAGTGTCCCATATGCCGACACAACTGTTCCATGTTGCTTAAACTGTACGGTAGAAGGTGTTAATTGATCTAATGCCCTAGTTTTCGTATCAAAGATATACCCTCCAAATGAATTAACGCGAGGTTTATCCCAACCCTCCTCTGAAAACACATATAGTTGGGAGCGGTCGAAAATCCTTGCACCCAAATGGGTAGAACCACTGAACTTGGCTACACGTGCTACTCGTGCACCCATATCATCAACTTCTCCTCCAAATTTGAATTTAACTTCATAGATGGTATCAGTGTATTTGCCCCTAAGGAAAGTTACCATTAAAAACAAAGATCTTTCCTCCCCTTGATTTATCATCGTTGATGCATTCTCAACCATGGGAAATCTGGACAGAGAAGAGAGATATACAAAACAAGTCAAGTTCATATTCTTTCCAAACCACTTCCGACCTAGAGAGAATTAATGAATGAAACAAGATCAAAGCTACACAATCTACTTTTGTAAGCATATATACATACACAGCAAGGTAAACATTTTGTGTTAAATATATAAAGAAAAAACAGCGATGAACCAAAATTAAGAAGATGAAATCCACTACTAAGCCATGCACTGACCCATGTTTGCGACTGTCGGCCTTACTGCGGCGTAGGCGAAGCTCCTTCGAAATTAATTTCTTCAAATCGATCAGTTGGACTTTCTGGGCCAAAAGCGCGGCTAGATATTTCTCGTTCTCCCCCAGTTCGCGCAGAGACTTCTCCATCGCCCATATCTTGCGCAGAGATTTCTTGATCTTCGATGTCTTGGCAAGGAGCTCATCCTGGCTTGAAGCCATCGTCAAGGCATGGTCTTGACCCGAGGTGAGCTCAGCGGCCATGATATTGGAATGCTAAACTGAGGCAAAAGGGAATTTAGGGTTGGTTGTGCGTATGAAATATATATAAGCTAAAGCGTGAATTAATTCAATTGATCAATATGCTTTCCATTCATCCGTAAAGTCAAGTATTCATATAATGAGCAGGAAACTTTTAAAAAAAAAAAAAATTATTTTAAGGAAGAATCAGGAAACTTTTATTAATATTATTTTAATGAAGGAAGAAACAGGAACCTTTTTATTTTTGACCAAATAAAACACAGGAAACTTTTTATTTTTTTGAGAGAGAAAACAGGAAACTTATAATTATTTTGAATATGCGTATGGTATATATATGTACGACTTACTTTTCTTTTTGGTTTCCCGTTTTAAAATTCCTAGTGTTACCTGTTTGTTTATTTGTTACCCTTTTTATGATTTTTTGGGGTTTACTGGTGAGATTGGGTTTTAGGGCCAATTGAGGAAGTGGTTTAGTTCAAAGCCCTATATAATTTACCTTCTTCTTTAATTTTATTGCTTCACTCTCGTTAATCAAAGGTGCTCGTGGACTGGATCTCTCTCTGACACCATCGTTTTTGCTTCATTGTCCAAGATAATCAAAGCAGGTTACCTCATCTCATGCTTTTTCAGTTATATTTTAGTTTTAGTTTTCTTTTCTTCTGAACAGTGTAGTATAAATTTTTTCTATTTGGTTAGAGTTGTGCATCTCAGTTTTCTTAGGATGTACACTGCTGGTTTTTTTTCACCTTACTCTTCTTTTTGAGCTCAAGTGTTTTCTAAGGGTACTGTTTGCAATGTGTACTTTGTTTGCTGGCTAATTAAAAGTTGCTGGAGAAGATGCAATGTGTTTTATTAATTGTTTGTTTGTTTCTATCTTTTCTTGCAGATTATTTTCATTGCTAAGAATTCTTTTCGGTAAAATGGATGACCAGAGAGAGTTACCTGACTTTGTTCGACGGTTGCTTCGTGCCAATAATTCACAGGACATGGTCATTGGTTCTGAGCTTTGTTATTACGGTTTCAAGTTCGATAATAGAATTTCTCAAGAATTGTATGAGGGGCGTTTGCTTACATCTTCTGATCCTCGTGGGGCACCGATAGATGTGGTGTTTGTAAAAGTTGCTCGACGAGAAGATGCAAAAAAAATATTTCAAAGGACTGCCGCAGCTAATGATGGTGTTGTTTTAAAGCCGTGGAAGTATTTGTTCTCCGGACAAAAGGAGTTTCGCGACTTGCCTAAGGATGCAGAGTTGAGGACGGGAATCTGGACTCTATGTTATGATCGTTTCGAACACAATCTTAAAGATTGGACGAATATGGTGAAGGGAAATGTTGGTTATTATGATAAGCTTAAACTGCCTATCAAGACTAGCGATGGTTGTCGTCTTAAGAAATTTTGGCGTGATTCTATAAGGTAGTTGGTTAGATTTTGTTAAAATTATTGGTTATAGTTTTGTTTTAATTGTATTTGACATAAATTCTTCCTACTGTTTGTAGGGAGTTGATTGTTGGTGTAGGTCGCATACATTCTAAGGGGTTATATCATGGTGGGTTGGGTTTGGAGAGTAATTATGTATATATTGACAAATGTCTGAAGGTAATTAACATTGAGGGAGATTTGGATGAGTATGAATTTGATGAAGACCGTGAGGAGCAGAAGAAAGCAGATATTACGGACCTTTTAGGGATGTTGGACAACTGGTTCGAATCGATACTAGCGGGGGGCAAAAGAAGTTGGTTGGAATGTCAACACTTCTTTGATTTTGTCAACCGTGCTAAGAGAAAGAAGAAGTTGGAGTGAGTTGTCTATCTCTTTTATTTTATTTATTTATTTTTTTTCACTTCATTTATTTCTTATAGGATATTGTTCTTTTTGTCTTTTCAGCTACGATGAATTGGTGAAAAAAGTGGTGGGTCATCCGTTTTTGTTAAAAGCTGATGAAAGGATGCGTCTCTTTGATCATTATGAAACTATGAAGAGTGGTCGAACTGGTAACAAAGTCAAATTCGCATTGGCAAGATCCGCTTTTGACAATTTCAAATCCTGGAACTCTACTTCAACCGTTAATAGCATGGATACATTTATGTTGGGTGTTTATAACCATAGAAACTCCTCGGCATCAAGAAAACAACAGAAATACATCCGCATCAAAAATATAAAACCCCGTGTAAATTACACTGGGGATGTGGAGGATCTTCTTAGGTACCTTAGGAATCTGAATCATCATTATCATGAACATGGTTTGGCTGCTGGTTCTATGGAGGATGTGGATCATGGTGTTACAACACATTTTCGTGGGTTTTTGGAGCTGCTTTACAGGCATTTAGAACTATAGTGGGAGCGGTGTGTGGTTCATTTCATGGAGTTATTTTATTTTGTATATCAAAGATTTCATGGCAACAGTAGATTAAAGATTTGAATATTAAAACAAGTACATGCGCTACATTTTTCTTTCCTGCAATTACAAAGTTTACTACCTTATTTATTGCTGAAACAAAACAATGAATCAATAATTTATTAACGCAAAAAAAAACCTCACCAGCTGTGTGTGTATATATATATATATGTTGTTTTTTTGTAAGTTAAACAACAGCAAAATGAAAAATTCACGCTAAAATTTTATGAATCAATTTTATACAACCAATATACCTTTCGAAAAATCACATTCAGTGCAAGCCCATATATAAAAAAGTGAAATAAAACATAGGAACTACATTTTGAAAAAGAAAAGGAATTTCCACTCAATGGCTTTGGCAATGGTTATCAGTTCAAACAGCGTAATCAGAGCAAATTAAATCCAATAAGTAAGCCATTGGTGATCCTCAGCAGGAGGAGACTGTGTCAGCAGAATTATCCTCCTCTCTGATCTCATTCTTCTCATGCATGGGTCATCTGTTCAATTTTCAAACAGTTTGCATGAAAATATGATTCATTAAAAAGATGCACTATTAAATCAATGCACAAGAAAGATGTGTTCCAAATAACATTAACATCTGTATAGCTTTTCAATTCCTCTTCATGCCAAGAAAGATGTGTTCCAAATAACAAGCTACAATGTTTTGCTTAATCTGATGTTCACACAGGAGAGACGTGTGCTCACAAGGAAGCATTATCTTTAAGTAAAAAAAACCACTAGTGTGTTTTCACAGCATAAAAAAATAACTGAACAAAAATGCCATTGTAAAGAAAAAAGCTCTCTATTTTGATAATCTCATGTGCAAAAAGTTCTTTATCTTTAAGTTTCAGACACGCAGTTTTTTCAAGTTCATGATTTTTATATTAAATATGAATCTCTCCTGTAAACAATATTGTCGGGTGTAATTGATCAATACTCGTTAAGTCTTCTAGAAAGTCTCTCACACTTAATCTTGGGTGGGCGCAGTCCAACTTTGATTGAATTAAAATCACGGGTTAAATCAAACTAAACTAAACCAGACCACTATTGAGTGGTTTGGTTTAGGTGGTTTGGCTATTTAGATTTGAGACAAATACTTTTTATAGTTTTGTTCTCTTAGTGATTTAGCCATACAACCGTACAAAGTGAGAAAATTTCAGTTTAGGGTGGGTGAAGTGAGACTGAGCATCAATTTCAAGGGGTGAAACAGATAATAAGCCATAATAAAAAGGGGACATTAGCAATGAGTGATGATTTTCCCACCTCCCTTTCGTCCACTTACACTTCCTTTTGTTTTTTAGTACTATAACAAAAGATGGTGAAAGTGGACAAAAAAAGAGAGTGGGAATATACAATTCCAACAAAGGAAGTGTAAGTAAACAAAAGAGAAGTGGGAAAATAAGTTCGCTCAATGATACCTAAAAAGTTCTAAGTTTTATTTAGAAAGTTGGACAGATATTCTATTCTTTAGGCTCCACTTTGGGGTTTAAGAATAAAACGTATTTTCCTAAAAACAGTTCCTTAAAAATAGCTACAAGTAAAGAGTTTATAGCTCAAATTGTCATAATTACTTTTGTACTCGAGGTCATGTGTTCGAATCACCTCTTTGCAAACATCGCTTGTATAAATTGTTTTAAAGAAAAAAAGCTACAAATATTACTAGATAATAGGGATGTGCATCATTTTCAATCCAGCATATTTTGAAGAATTTGCATCCAATTCAATTACCAATTGGGTTCATTATATTATAATTCAATCCAATTAAGTATCCAAATCCAACCCAATTCAATTAAGTATCCAAATTCAACCTAATCCAATTAGGATTAATAACACAATTCAATCCTGGATAGTGCAGTGCATAATATAGAAAATAAATAATGTCGGCATGATTGATATGGTGAATCAATCCTAATATGTGTAGTACGTAAAATTATATGGACACACATAAATTTATTTAACGTAGTAAAATTCCAACTTTAGGGAAATTCATGAGACTTTTAGTCCAAAATAAATCCACTATAGAACAATAATTACAAGAAGTACTCACACACTTATCTTAGACACATTTTAGATAATATTTACTGACTCCTTTGTAACTCAACTTCTCACAGGATGATCTTCCAAACACTCCTTATGTTAAACGCAATATTGGTCATGATTGATTCAAGCTCATCGGAGGAAAACTGAGTTCTTCCAACTCTCCTTATGTTGAACCAAATACTGGTCACAATTGGTTCAAGCTCACCGAAGAAACCGCCACCACAGGATTGATGCCCTCAACCGTGTGAGTCACGGAATTATGCAAATGATTGCAATATGATTGAGAAATCAGTTGATAAATCACCAAGTAAACATGGAACACTTGATGATTTATCCATAATAAAAACACAAATTTCTTCGACGTTTAAGCACACAAAAACTGATGTTGAAAAGCTGTAAAAAAAGAAGAGGCACAAGGCTCTCCTTTATAGACCTTTAACACAAAATTAGCACCTTTGAAAACTGGACAGAAAATTAAAAAGATATGTTACCTATTCTGTGTAAAAAGGAACTAGACATTTAATATAAAGGGAAACCAAAACAAGGAGGTGCTTGCCTGGGTTAATGCTTTGGAGGTGGGCGAGGGGGAAATCGGGTGGTGACTATGCCTTTTGTTGGAGAACCAAAATGAAACTCATGCATAAGTTAGGGACCATTTCAGTCAGTTTTTATTTTTATTTTGTCAAAAATCTTATTTACCCCTAGTATGTGTCATCCACGTGATTCAAACTATCAAAAAAAATGTCATGGTGGGATCAGTTTGCTCCCAAAATAGAAAGTTGGAGTACTATTTAATCGAATAATTAAGTTAGAGTACCAAAATGTATCTCGGGGACAAATTCAAGGACTATTTTGGTATTTACCCAAAAAAGTCCAAGCATTTATTTTGTCAAAGGAGACAAAATAGTGATCATGTGACTTGCGCATGACCTTTTTTTTTCTAAAAAAAAATTTAGGGAGCTTCACTAATATACCCAAAATGGGTGTTGAAATTATTAAAAAACCTCATATGAAAAACACTTTATAAACACACCCAAAACCCATTTATTAAATAACAAATTGGTATTGAAGTTACTATATATTACAAGGCTGCCACTTTATAAGCCCAACAGAAAAAAACTCAAAAGACACCCAAAATCAACCCAACCCAAATTTATAAACAAGCCCAAACATTTTAACCATCTAGAAAACCGTAACTTTTATCCAAAAAATGGAAAACAAAACCGTAACTTCCAGCAACTTCAATTAACCATCTTTGCCAAACGTCCCTTCAGTCATCGTCTTCATCAAAGCGTCTTCTTCATCTCTCGAAACCGAAACTCCATAACCACAACCAAGCTTGATATACTTTCAAAAACAAACACCACACACTGACCTCACCTACAAAACCAAGACAAAATTTCAGAGAATAATTTCAACAAGAAAACGATTCAAAGGTAAGACATTTACAAACCAAACCTATACTGAAATTTCAGACATTTACTATCATTATTTTAGTCGCTAGTTTACTGAAATTTCTGATTAATGGCTGTAAAGTTCCAGTATAGGGTAATAACACTGCTTGTTTCCTCTGAAATCCTATTTCTGATGCACGTCTAGCACTGTAAAGTTCCAGTATAGGGTATTAATACTGCTTGTTTCCTCTGAAATCCTATTTGTAATGCATGTCTACCACTGTAGAGTTCCAGTATGTGGTAATAACACTAGTAGACGTGCATTAGAAATAGGATTTCATAGCAAACAAGCAGTGTTATTACCCTAGACTGGAACTTAACAGTGGTAGACGTGCATTACAAATACGATTTTATAGCAAAAAAGCAGTGTTATTACCCTATACTGGAACTTCACAGTGGTAGATATGCATTAGAAATAGGATTGTAAAGTGGTAGATATGCATTATAAATAGGATTTCATAGCAAAAAAACAGTGTTATTACCCTATACTGGAACTTTACAGTGGTAGATATGCATTAGAAATAGGATTGTAAAGTGGTAGATATGCATTATAAATAGGATTTCATAGCAAAAAAACAGTGTTATTACCCTATACTGGAACTTTACAGTGGTAGATATGCATTAGAAATAGGATTGTAAAGTGGTAGATATGCATTATAAATAGGATTTCATAGCAAAAAAACAGTGTTATTACCCTATACTGGAACTTTACAGTGGTAGATATGCATTAGAAATAGGATTGTAAAGTGGTAGATATGCATTATAAATAGGATTTCATAGCAAAAAAACAGTGTTATTACCCTATACTGGAACTTTACAGTGGTAGATATGCATTAGAAATAGGATTGTAAAGTGGTAGATATGCATTATAAATAGGATTTCATAGCAAAAAAACAGTGTTATTACCCTATACTGGAACTTTACAGTGGTAGATATGCATTAGAAATAGGATTGTAAAGTGGTAGATATGCATTATAAATAGGATTTCATAGCAAAAAAACAGTGTTATTACCCTATACTGGAACTTTACAGTGGTAGATATGCATTAGAAATAGGATT